ATGCTGACTATGTGTTCTGCATTTTTCCGTAAGTCTGTACCTCAACTATCTTTTACCACTAAGCAATTGTATCAGGTAAAATATCATGTTCTTGATACTGTCCCGCCCTCTGCCGAAGACGAGCCTGACTTCATGCCATCATACCAGTACCGGAACTCCCTGGATTCAGGATTTTCAGGAGTCTACAACAGCCATAGTCTTCAACAAAATAAATAAAAATGGATGGGATGTGGGGAAATTGTATGCTTTTACAATGTATATATCGGTGGCTATAGCAGACATTGTGCTAAGCGCGCAAATCACGTATGCAGTGTGGTTGCTTCCAGTAAGGATGATTCATTAACCTGCTTTGGTATCTAGGATAATTTCCTGTCTCTGGGTAAACTGTATTAACTTACTTGTGTATTTAAAGTGTTATCTGTCTCTGTTTACCCTGCTCTGTATTCAGGAATGTTTACCCTGCTTGTGTATTTAGGATTTACGTGCCTCTGTTTACCGGCCCCTCTGTTTACCATACTTGTGTATTCAGGATATTACCTGCTTGTGTTTAGAATGGTCTCTGGTTAACTAGTGCAAAGGTAATAGGGAACAATAAAAGGGGGGTGCGGCGACAGATAGAGAGGATTTCCCACTGAACAGCATGCTACACAGCATGCTGTTTTGTTCATCCGGATCCCGCCCTGAAACACACACTCGAGTGCTCGCCTCTTCCTTTCTCCTTGCTGGTCAAGAGGGGGGAAAGGCTTCATCTGCAGATCCCTACAACTAGACTTCATCTGCAGATCCCTACAACAAGGCTTCATCTGCAGACATTAGGTTTCATCTGCAGATCCCTACAAGGCTTCATCTGCAGATCCCGACAACTCTCGAATTGGCCTTCTCAGCACACTAGATGCTGTTCCAAGACCTCTGTTCACAGCATGTTACCATAGTCTCTTGAGACTGAAGGATGCCTACACTGAGTCTCTTTGACAGCGGCTGGACTTGATGATCTGTAGGGTCCCTTCCAGCTCTGCAATTTTAACATTTAAGATGTTCACTGTACAATCACATCATGTATGTAGTGTAGCCTTTTTCACTCTTAAGTTGTGTGATATATTTGTAAAAATGCGACATGCCATTCTTAACCAAAAGTTAAGGAATGTTTTATATTTTGTGCTTTAGAAACTAAAGGATAGACAGAATAGGAATAAGACTGTGAACTGGAATCTGTGTGGAATAAAAAGCAGAACTCACAGGTTTCTCAACAGAATATATGACTATTGATATTTTAGAATACATTTCAACAAGGAGAGAATGTGAGAAGATAATTTTTATTAACCATATTAATTATGGAATGTTTTAAAAACAGGCACATAGGATTTATAGTTTGATTTCTAATACAAAGTTGAAAGTTCAGAGCAAGAGGCTTTGAGATACTATTACAATAATCTGGAAATTAATCATTATTAGAGATGTTAAAAATAGGAGTGTGACCAGAAGTTAACCCAAAGCACAAACTGTGTTGTCTAATCCTATGGGCTTTCCACAGAGTGAACCAATCAGAACATGGGAACAGAGGACCTAAGTAAGTAACTGAAGTTCAGTATTACTTTAGGACAAAAAAGAATACGGTATATAATGTATTTTACTTCACCTTTGCTCAGATTGGATTGGAGGGTCTATACAGTACGCTATTTATGATCACATATTAAATATCTGTATGCTTTATTTATTTATTTATCTATTAGATTTATATACCTCCCATCTAGAACGTGTCTACTCTGGGCAGTTTTGAGAAATTATTTAACTGATTTATCTAAAATATCAATAGGTAAACATGTGAAATCATTATGAAACGATTAAACACTTAAAATATAGGAAAATTAGACATTTGGTACAATTAATACACAATAAGGTGTTTTAATTGGCAGGATTTTTGCTGTTGAGAACTGCTCAAAGTTTCAGTTTTACCAACCAACAGGAAAGATTATCAGCAGATGATTCTACCCTGTAGTCTTTTTTATTTTGTCTGAAAAACAAAACAAACAGAAATCAAATAACTCTAACAATATCATTAAATAACTCTAACAATAAAATTCTTCATTACATACAGTAATCCCACCATTAAATCAAAGCATTAAAAACTTCATGGGGTTTTCTAGTACAGCAAACCAAAACATTTTAACAACTTAAGAAATAAACCATGCATTCACTCATCAAAATTAGAGGCATTGAATGAACATGTCAACAGAGGTAAGCCCTCTAAACACCCCCCCAGCTGATACCCAGAATGTTTGCTCTGTGAAGTACAGTGGGGTCTTGACTTGAGAACTTAATCCGTATTGGAAGGCGGTTCTCAAGTCAAAAAGTTCTCAGGTCAAATCTGCATTTCCCATAGGAATGCATTGAAAACCATTTGATCCGTATCTGCTCTTTTCGGTCCATAGAAACTACTGGGAAGCTGCTATTCTGCCTTCGACCACTAGAGGGGGATATTTTGTTTCTTTTTTCTTAGGTCAAGAAAGGTGCAGGGAAGGCAGGGAAAATACAGGCCAGGCAGTACAGTACCAGGCAGTCCGAAGACTGTCTCCCAATCCACTCTCTAAATGCTGGGAGGAGTGAGGAAGCAGACAGGCACGCTTTTCACTGGCCAACAGTTAACTGAAAGTTCAAATTTTGCACTTTCCCTGCCTCCCACGTGGTTTGTTTTCAGTTCTTAACTCAAATCTAAGTATGTAAGTCAAGTCAAAATTTTCCTATGAGAGTGGTTTTTAAGTCAAAATGTTCTTAACTCGAGCCGTTCTTAAGTCAAGACCCCACTGTAAATGGAACAATCCCTCTTAGCATACTTGTTTTTTAACACGGAGTGCTGCAGAGATACGGATCGTTCTTTTTTAAATTTAATTTTAATAATAAGCAATACTATGAAAAAAGACAGAAAGAAAAAGAAAAATAACTAACAATGAACACATAAACTCAAATTCAAATCAAGACTGTTGTGCTCAGAATGGCTAAGAATTTAAAGGTGTCAGCATGGAATGTGAAAGATCTAAAGCTAAAATCCAGACTGTGTTAAATGAAGGAGGACCCGATATTTTGTTCTTGGAAGAAATTCATTAAAAATATATAGGGTGAATGAACTTAGAGGAAAGTGATTATTATCTATGAAAATTCATTTGGTATGTCAACGTTTAGAGTGATGGCTATGTTGATATGGAAATATGGAAATTTAATGAGGAAGGAGAAGGACAAGCAAATTTAATGTGGGATTCTATGTAAGTAAAGATCAGAGGATTTACATAATCCTCTGCCTCCCAGAAGAGCCAGCCTGTGCAGCCTTGGGCAAGCTGCACAGTCCCAGGGTGCCCCTAGAAGGGATTGATAAACCCCTTCTGAACACTCTGTACCTAGGGATTGATAAACCCCTTCTGAGCACTCTGTACCTAGAAACCCTGAAAAGAGTTGTCATAAATCAGAATCAACTTGCGGCACACCATTATTATTATATTTACTAGGCATGGGTTCTTTGGACTCCCTTGGACTACACATCCCATAATTCTCTATTCTGGGAGTTCCACCTAACAGACCCACATGTACAGACACCTAAATGTGTCTGAACTACAGAAAAGGTCCAGCTGAGAAGTCTTTGAGGCCTTACATAGGACAAGGTCTGGCCTAGCTGAGGAAGTTGCCTCCTCCCTGCTGGCTGGGAGCCGAAAGTTTCATTTCAAACTGCCTTCTGACAGTATTGATGACCCCCCCTCCCCCGAGCTGCTATTCTCTCCAAGTAAAGAGCAGACAAGGGGTTGACTTTCATCCAGCTTATGTCATGAGGGAAAGGGTTAAGGGGTTAGATGGGCACAAATCACTTTGTGCTGGGTCATCTCAGGTTGTCAGTGCAGCACTTTAGGAGCTGAAGTTCTCTTCCCACCCCCACAGCCGGCTTGCCCACTCACAAGCTGGCTGCTTGTCTCCTCCTCCTTGTCAGGGTGGAGGAAACAAACCTGTGGTGCCTGACTAACGAGTTCAGATGACCCGGCACAAAGTGATTCATGCCCATCTCTACTTAACCATCCTGATGGGTCACAATATCAACATTTCCTCCTCCATTTTTTAATATGCTGCAAAACACAGTAATACATTTCTAGTATTTTATAGTTTTGCCCTCAGATTCAAACATATCCCCCAAATCAGGGAGGAATGGAAGAAACACACAAAAAATATGAGAATGTGGCAAATATTGATTGGCTGAGATTAGACAGGGAGGCTGTCCTGTATCGACATGGATTCATTCAAAATTTCCTCTGGCAGTTAAATCTCTGTTGACAGTCACATGGAATGTTTAATTATCCTGGAAGTTTTGGGGGCAAGAATCCACATCACACTTCCAAGTTGCTATGATTATTGCCAGGACCCCAGATTCCCCACCCTCTTCTGTCATTAACACTGCTCTCTTCTCTCCTCGCTTTTTAAATGTTTTGGCAAGTTACATAGCACTACAGCAATATAAGAGGTTGTGAAACTGCATGCTTACCTAACATAGCACTATATTTGACAAGCATAAGAATTTTTAAATATTTTTGGAAAAGGCAAAAAGAGGCATTGATTTCAGAGGGATTTTTCCATTGTACTGGCATGGCCAAGCCCACAGAAGACTTTGTTGTCACTGTCACTCTGACATAAATGATTACGCATGTCGGAAAATTAAAAAAAAGTGATGCAAATAGAATTGCTACCAAAAACTCCCACACTGAGGTCCTGTAGCAATCAATGCCCATGAACAAAAGACCAGGCTTATATTAGCTGTATTATGTTAGCTGTATTGTCATAGGGGATTATAAACATGGAACATATCATTGTGTATATCATCAGGATCAGCTTAGTATTTTATGAAGTTTGTTTAATTCCTACAGGAAAGAGAGATCTTGTGTTGTTTTTAAAATAAAAATAAATAAAAATATAAGAAGGTGTTTGCTATCTGTTTCAAGGGAAGTTAGAAAGTCTGGTACAGTATGTTTCAGAAGTAAAATTGGAATTTGAATGATTTTTTCTGATTCACCAGAAAATGTGAAGTTGATCTCTTTTACCTGGTAGACATATGCCTTTGCCCTTGGGCAATTATTGTGCTTGCATCCCCATGTTTTCCTTCAAAATGTGTGTTAGAATAAAACTGACCTAGAAGCAAAGAAAGAAAAAAGGCAAATTACATTTCTCAGAGTCATGTGAGCTTAGTTACTGTACCCTAAGGATGCATTATTTCCCACCTGCCCGACTCACTGAAAGATAGAGTTAGGTCTTGTTCTGGTCTTGGATTTGGTGTTCATTTTTACATTGCCCTTTTGGTGTAATGCCAGGGTGCCAGCAGACTTTAAGTAGGTATTGGGCAAGATGTGGGACTCCCACACACTCCTGCCTCCTCACTGTCTCTCTCTTCTCTCCATACACCCCCCACACACACATTTATACTCCTGCCGACTCCTGCATTCTTCTTTGCCTCCCTCCTCCCAGTGTCTGTGAATGTGCCCTCTCTTTCCTCTTCCTTCCTCCCAAACAAACCCCATGACATTATTCAGTCTCCTTCTGTTCTTGTACCCCATCAGGAACTGCCTTCACCTGACATCTACAAGACAAAAACCAGGGATGACGCTTCTGTTTTTCTAGACCTCTTATTTCCTCTAATGAGGATTTGGTGGCTTGTTTTTTTTTCCCTGGACATGTGTTTTTTATGCGTCTTTTTTGTGTATTATTGTTGGCCTATATCCATATTAACATTCAGAATTTGCTAACTACTGGCGTCAAGGTAACAAGTAACTGCGTGGAAACAAACATGCAAACATCTGTATCATTTTTCTAACTGATGACACATACCAAGGAGTCCAGTGACTTGCTCAGAAAAATTTGCACCATCAGTGATGTATAATCCAAGAAAACGTTCCGGAAGCCTTACATAGGATATTTTTATGGAGATGTTGTCTGCTCCCATTAACGAAAGACTCTTTTCTTCTTCAACTGCAATATTTAGCCTGTGCAAGGAAAAGTCAGAATACTTTTATATAGTATCGAACATGCCTAAGATGTGTACAAAAAGCATAAAACATCCACAGACCAAATGCAGGCAAGCTATAGATTAGGGCTGCTACACAATGGAAGACGTTTTAATCAAATAACCACAGAGATTAGCCAATGAGTAAAGGAATCTCTCACTGGAATTTGTACATTTCTTTGCACGATGCACATGTCACAGGAGATATGGTCTTAGAAGAGGCATTCAGAATAATAAAAAGGATGGGGAATGAAGAATGTTATGAGTGTGCTTGAATGTGCAGCTTTTATAAACCCCACTAGTAATGCCAGAGATGCTTTTGCCCTTGCAAAACCATTCATTGTGATTAGAAGCTCGTGGTCAGAAGAGGAATCCTCTCCTCTTTCAGTCACCACCAACAGCGTCTGAAGATCTTGCAGAGAAATGCATTGATCGGTTTTTGGTGACATGCTGTCTGAGCCTCTGAATGTATCTCAGTCCCAATCGGTATAAATACTGTACATGAGTTCCGATCTAGATTTTCAGGAGATTGCCTCATTTTGGACATCTATTCAATTGCTTCAGATCAGGCTGGCGCAGTTTAAGATTCAGGATCTGTTTGATTCTGAAGCATAGTCCTCGTTTGAAGGGACTGGCAGTATGTTCTTTAGGGAATAATATTGACTCCGCAGAGATTCCGCCCCCTCCCCATATACTGTTTGTAGTCTGTGATCAAGTTATCATGCTGGCATGAGATGCAGGAGAGGCGAACCCTGCCCATGGGATTAATTTTTACAGACAACTGGAAAAAGACAGCCAAGTATGAGATGGACGGATCCCACCAAGAATCATAGCTTTAAGGTTAACAGGATCAACCAACCAACCAACCAACCAACCAACCAACCAACCAACCAACCAACCAACCAACCAACCAACCAACCAACCAACCAACCAACCAACCAACAATCAATCAATCAATCAATCAATCAATCAATCAATCAATCAATCAATCAATCAATCAATACCTTTATTGGCATTAAAACCAGTAACTGCACAGTCAAGGTTATACTTTCCACTACAATAAGATAAATATGGCCAAGTTACGTCAATGCTCCTTGAAGCAGTCAGCCCAGTTTATTGCAGTAGCAAGATATTCAGCTACATGCTCAGTCAAATCAAGTTGTTTATCTGTTACATCATCTGGATTAAGTGCTCAGGGAAGCCAGAGAAATTTGAAATAACAGAGCTAAGCAGTAATTGACAGAGCTAGCTAAATGTAGGGTAGTGAAAAAGAATATGTGAAACTGAGTCCAGTTCTGCTAAACAGTGCTTACACCGGTGGTTCTTAAAGAGGATATTATATCTGCCAGAAAGAACAGCTGAGGAAAATATATTAAATCTGGCCACCCAGTGGGTTAATGAGATTGATGAAATAACAGGCAACAGTTACAGACAGAGGGGGCAAACCATAAAAAGGAGGAGAGCAAATTAAGTTCAAATCAGCTGCCAGAGTCTGAAGTTCAATATCCCAAATTCTTTGGTGGGTAATATGGTAAAGGTGAGTTTCTCCACAATTAGGGAGTTTAGGTTAATACCTATAGAAGTGATTTTAGAGTTAATAAAAGAATACCATGTGGAGATAAAGGTATCACTTAATAAATCAGTCAAAAGTGATTGAGAAGATTTCTGAAAGTGTAAACAAAGCCAAAATTTAATAGTGGATAACCAGGCAAGGGTAGTTGGAAAATGAAGCTCAAGTTCGCTTAATAATGTTGCAAGTCTAATCATATTTGGGACGCCTAAAATCTTGTGCAGAAAGAAGGCAGGTATGCGATCTGTCTTGTATTTGGCCGTTGTAGTTATGGCCAAATACGAGACAGATCGGCCAACAAGAGCTGAAGAACACTTACAGGAGTTGAGTACAGAATACTTTCAAGGCCATTAATTCATATAGTCACCATTAAGTTAAGTTGATGGCACATAACAACATGAACAATTAATAAACAATCTCACATACTCTCTCTAATTTGGTAGAGTAAGAAACATATTTTTGGTCTTGAAGGATTATCTGGATCTGGGAGAGCTAGACTAGATACAGATATAGAGTTGTGAATTAGCTTTGATTCAGTGTCAGTGCAATTACAAGAATGAATTTTTACCCTGTCATTGGGAATGTTGTGTTTGATTTCCATGAGAGCAGAGCCGTGTTTCCATTCAGGTGCAGGACAATTTCTTGAGTAGAGACATCAATCCGCACATCTGGCTTCTGATAGACTATTTCAAACTGCTCAAAGTGTTTTCTTGTCTCCAGCTTGCCGGTTACTTGGATCCCTAAAAAGAAATAAAAGTGTTGAAATCAAAAGAGAAATACATTGAGTTGCCAATGGACCTGATTAAGACTTACATGTAAAGCAATGTTGCAGCTAGAAGAAATACACATCAGGCTGGCGCAGTTTAAGATTCAGGATCTGTTTGATTCTGAAGCATAGTCCTCGTTTGAAGGGACTGGCAGTATGTTCTTTAGGGAATAATATTGACTCCGCAGAGATTCCGCCCCCTCCCCATATACTGTTTGTAGTCTGTGATCAAGTTATCATGCTGGCATGAGATGCAGGAGAGGCGAACCCTGCCCATGGGATTAATTTTTACAGACAACTGGAAAAAGACAGCCAAGTATGAGATGGACGGATCCCACAAAGAATCATAGCTTTAAGGTTAACAAGAGCAATCAATCAATCAATCAATCAATCAATCAATCAATCAATCAATCAATCAATCAATCAATCAATCAATCAATCAATCAATCAATCAATCAATCAATCAATACCTTTATTGGCATTAAAACCAGTAACTGCACAGTCAAGGTTATACTTTCCACTACAATAAGATAAATATGGTCAAGTTACGTCAATGCTCCTTGAAGCAGTCAGCCCAGTTTATTGCAGTAGCAAGATATTCAGCTACATGCTCAGTCAAATCAAGTTGTTTATCTGTTACATCATCTGGATTAAGTGCTCAGGGAAGCCAGAGAAATTTGAAATAACAGAGCTAAGCAGTAATTGACAGAGCTAGCTAAATGTAGGGTAGTGAAAAAGAATATGTGAAACTGAGTCCAGTTCTGCTAAACAGTGCTTACACCGGTGGTTCTTAAAGAGGATATTATATCTGCCAGAAAGAACAGCTGAGGAAAATATATTAAATCTGGCCACCCAGTGGGTTAATGAGATTGATGAAATAACAGGCAACAGTTACAGACAGAGGGGGCAAACCATAAAAAGGAGGAGAGCAAATTAAGTTCAAATCAGCTGCCAGAGTCTGAAGTTCAATATCCCAAATTCTTTGGTGGGTAATATGGTAAAGGTGAGTTTCTCCACAATTAGGGAGTTTAGGTTAATACCTATAGAAGTGATTTTAGAGTTAATAAAAGAATACCATGTGGAGATAAAGGTATCACTTAATAAATCAGTCAAAAGTGATTGAGAAGATTTCTGAAAGTGTAAACAAAGCCAAAATTTAATAGTGGATAACCAGGCAAGGGTAGTTGGAAAATGAAGCTCAAGTTCGCTTAATAATGTTGCAAGTCTAATCATATTTGGGACGCCTAAAATCTTGTGCAGAAAGAAGGCAGGTATGCGATCTGTCTTGTATTTGGCCGTTGTAGTTATGGCCAAATACGAGACAGATCGGCCAACAAGAGCTGAAGAACACTTACAGGAGTTGAGTACAGAATACTTTCGAGGCCATTAATTCATACAGTCGCCATTAAGTTAAGTTGATGGCACATAACAACATGAACAATTAATAAACAATCTCACATACTCTCTCTAATTTGGTAGAGTAAGAAACATATTTTTGGTCTTGAAGGATTATCTGGATCTGGGAGAGCTAGACTAGATACAGATATAGAGTTGTGAATTAGCTTTGATTCAGTGTCAGTGCAATTACAAGAATGAATTTTTACCCTGTCATTGGGAATGTTGTGTTTGATTTCCATGAGAGCAGAGCCGTGTTTCCATTCAGGTGCAGGACAATTTCTTGAGTAGAGACATCAATCCGCACATCTGGCTTCTGATAGACTATTTCAAACTGCTCAAAGTGTTTTCTTGTCTCCAGCTTGCCGGTTACTTGGATCCCTAAAAAGAAATAAAAGTGTTGAAATCAAAAGAGAAATACATTGAGTTGCCAATGGACCTGATTAAGACTTACATGTAAAGCAATGTTGCAGCTAGAAGAAATACACAGCGTCTAGAGTCAAATATTGTGGCCCCTCAATCCAGACGCACTGGGGACTCTTTAGCCTCTGTATATATCTCAACAAGGGGATGGGGAGGGAGGAGGACCCTTTAACATGTACAAGATTGACATGAAGGAAAATGAAACCATTGATTCCAACCCTTAAAATGATTAGGAATACAGTACCTTTAACAGGATCAGAGAGCAGGTTTAGAGGTGTCTGTGACTGTCCGTTGACCTCTAAACAAATGGCATCATTTCCTCTAGGCAGTTGCACGATAAAATGTGGATGTGAAATTCTCACTGGAAAGAAAAGAATGCAATCCTTCTATGTATCTGCACATTCCTTCCTCTTTCTTCAGAGCACAAGAGTCCACCACCAGCAGCATACAGCATATACAGTAGTTGTCACAATCCACATACAGTACTCTGAACATTCAGCTAAATGTTAATTCATATCCAGCAAACTGATATTTGCCACCAGATGGGCAAACAAACAAACAAATAAATATTGTTCTGTTTGCAATAGGTTTAAAAATAATGCAGACAATAGCAATTCATAGACTACATGCCTTTCTATATTATGCTAAGAAGCAAGACTAAACCACCAGTCCTAACAATATGTGAGTTGCCTCCTAATAATAAAACGTGTGCCCACCATAAAAGAATTACACCAAAAAGCCTCGTGGCACCTAAAAGACTAACAGATTTGTTACAGCACAAGTTTCTGAGGGGTACTTCCAGGAAAGACATTTCAGTGGGAAATCAGCCAAATGTCATAGCTAAGATTTTCTCTGAAGGATAGCAGTGCACAAAGATCAGCTACTCTGTTGTGAGCATTCCCACTTCTTTCCCTCTTTCTCTTCCCCATTGCAGGCACCTCAGCTGAGGGCGGAAAATGACTGAGACTAGACAGCCACCGTACGAATGAGGAATGGCTGGCCCACCAGTTCCCACTGACCCTTCTGCTTGGCCATGCCTGGTGGTCCTGATCAGACTTACAGTCCAAAACATCTGGAGATCCAAAGGTTCCTCATATTTTATCCACAGGCAGGCTGGGTAGTTACCAAACATTACCACTTTGTTCATGATTGGAGATTTTAGGCAGAATCTAGTGAGGTTCTCAAGCTTCCATCAGCTGGAGCTGGGCAGAACCATCCCTTACCTGAACCACCACCCCCCTTCACAAACTCAGAATCTGCTCTGGAAAAACTGAGAAACACTCCATAGCTGTATTTTTTTTGAGCGGGGAGGTTGATGGAGGCTGCAAGTGGGAGGAGAGGGATGGGGAAGGCAAGAAGGCTCTGTCACTTTCGAAGCTGGGCATTAGCGTGATATTATACTTAGTCCTTCGAAAGTGCTCTGAGAAGGAGTACTGCTGTTCTTGTAGTACAGTTTGTCTGTAGTTACACAGCCTACCTATGAGCAATCCCAGGCTTATTTTCACTATCAAGGACACTGTTAGTCACTTCTTCAACCCTTTTTGTTCAGAATATGTCCCTTTCCTTCCATGGAAGAGTAAATTGTAGATGGCCCCCATGGTTCTCCTCCTGCATAGTTAATCCATAGTTTGTGGAGTGGAGAGCAACTACCCAACGCGCTGGGAAGTGAAGAGGAGCTGCAGAGAGTAGGGTAAGCCTCTCGGGCATCACAGCCAGCTTCCCACGAGCTTTGAGGGTCACCGGGGGCCGAGTGAGGTGTGCATGGCTAAAGGAGAAGAGTGTGGCAGTGCCGGGAGGCAGGATGGGGAAGAAGACCCACAGCACAATCTCTAGTGTTTATGGAAGGATCGCTTAAGAAAGAATTAAAATAGATTGCACTAACAGTAAGGACCTTTTAAGCATGGGCCAGATCACACCAGATTTCACAGTATGGAGAGGCCCTGCCCTGGTGTCTCAACTGCAAGTGGGAAAGGGCTGCTTTGAGCAAGGGCGGTGAGTGTGTCTTCACTTCTCCTCTATTTGCAGCTTGCTCTTTAGATGGGAAGGGTGGGTTTGGAACTGCCGCTTTTTCTCTACAGAGAAGACAGCAAGCATTAACTCTGCAAACTGATACACATCAAGCACGCTGGCTGGGCATTCTGGGGGTTGTAGTCCTTCCCCCAAAGAATCCCTCTTTCAAGTCCACTGAATCAGTGGCCTAGTACATTAGTGGGAATTAGGTGAGTCAAGTGCTCCAGAAGTTCTACTGATTCAAATGGACTTACTATAGTTGTGACTTCCTACACTAAAATATGCCTCAATGAGAGTCGACCCATTTGAATCAATGGAAAGAGCTGATTCACCAAAGGCCCATTAATTCAATGGTTCTACTCTAGTGCAATTTAAGCATCAAGATTTCAGAGATAGTCAAGGGAGGCTTCTTGAAAATTTGTAACTGGAAGATAAATTTTTTCAGGATGGCTCACCTGAATTGGCATTCTTGCGGAGAGGAGATGACAACCTCATGCCTATAAAAAAATAACCATTGTTGTTCAGTTATTATGACTTTTAAAGGAATATGCTGCTCAGTGGATTATATGTTTTGAACTCCACCTTCACAGAAAATCTCATTAAAATGACGGGAAACAGTGATAACAGAAGTAACATCACAGTCAAAGCTGGCCAGAAAGAGAAATGGGAACACAGAAAAAGGATAATTTCTCTCCCAATCAGAACAGGGTGGGCCTTGCCATCCATTGAGGTGAAGCAACCTCTCCAGGTGTCACCAGAAAGGGAAAGGAAGACAGAAATTAATACCCTAAATGGCAAAGGAAGTGTTGGCCATTGTTGTGCGGTGGGGACAGATGTGGGCTCTGTCGGAGTTTCTACAAGCTTGCATGCGGCCTTTAGTTTGACCGGGAGGGATTTTTCTGGACTGGGGTGGCTGTCAGTCTGTCGAGTGCTAAACAACTGTTCCTTCCCACTTCTGAATTCAAAGAGAGCTCTGCCTCTCTGCTGAGTGCTTCCTTTTCCCTCTCTTTAGTCTCTTGGAAGTAGTGTTTATTATTTGCTGTTGATGTGTTCACTGTAAGTGAAGAAATGTTTCTTATTCTTTCTCCTACAAACACTTCAGATTAAGTTACTGAGACTTTAAGTGCCAGTTAATGAGAAAGATGTGCACTCTGGAAAATTTGAAACTACTCTCCTTGTGAAACTGTATTTCTACAATGTAGAACAGAGCACAAAGCATTTTACCAGAAATTCAAAATACAGTAGTTGTTGTGGGTTTTTGGGCTCTTTGGCTGTGTTCTGAAGGTTGTTCTTCCTGACGTTTCGCCAGTCTTTGTGGCCAGCATCTTCAGAGGACTGGAGTGGGAACTACACAGAGCATGGACAGAGTTCTGACTCCAGTCCTCTGAAGATGCCGGCCACAGAGACTGGTGAAACGTCAGGAAGAACAACCTTCAGAACACGGCCAAAGAGCCCAAAAAACCCACAACAACTATTAGATCCCGGCCATGAAAGCCTTCGTGACTACACAGAAATTCAAAACTTTGCAACAGGCTCTACTTCAGGAGAAGAGTTTCACAGTTATGTCTTTCCTGAACTGTTGGATATTCTACATACAATTTGTGTGCTTTTGCTTTAGAAGAATTTGCCTCGTGTGGAAATGATCTTCTCCTCCCATTTGTTAAAGGATTGTTAAAACCTTGGGTAACCCAGCTGTTCTTGAACTGCAGTTCTCAAGAGCCCACACCACCAGCTGTGTTGCCTGGGGTTTCTGGGAGTTGCAGTCTGGATTACCCATGTTTGGGAACCACTTCCTTATATCCTCTGAAAAGCCTCTTCTAGAGATCAGAATATTTTTGTGGGGATTGTAGCGGGGGAGGAGGAATTGGCAGAATCAGGGGCACCTTGTGAAAATAGATAGGCTATACTAGTAAGATCTCAGACTCCTTCATCTTCTTTATTTGGACTACATTTCCCAGCATCTCAAGCTTCTCAGGAATTTGCAGGTACCTGGCACGAAGTGTTTTCCTCCATAACTATAGTCATAAGGACTGGCCATATGATGACTTGGGTTCTCAGGAGGAGGACCTGATAAGCCTGTAAAAAAATGCCCACTGTTATCCAGTTGTTTCTGGCATTTCATAAACAGTGTTTAGGAACACATTGATGAAGCAGGTTTCTTATGTTGAATTACATTTCCCCACCTCCAGAACCTCATTATAATAGCAAAAGAGCCAGTAAGAGAATTAATCTCACAGCCTAAGGTGGCCCGGAGGAATGATGGGACCAGGGCAAAAGGACAGGTTCCCTTCTCTTTAGCATAGGGTTGGCCCTGCCAGGCCTCAAAGTGAGGTAGTGTGCTCCACGTCCCCCCAGAAGGAGGGAAATGAGGCAGGAGCTGATGTTCTGAGTAGTGCTGCAAGGCTTTTCGAAGTGTTGTCCATAGGCAGAGAAGGGGGAGAGGATTGACTGTTTGGGCTCCACTTCAGGCAGCAGAATACATAGGGTCGGCCTTCCATGAGAGTCGTCATGTATGCGGACAGCGAGGTCACTGGCCAACAACAGGAGCAAAAGAAAAGCAGGCCTATGGGGATCTGGGAACGATAAGCCAAATGAGCAACTTTTCCAAACCTGGATCAGAAATTGGAAAGTTAGTAGAAAGGGGTTAACAAAATAAAACCCAGCTAGACTGTATTCCATGCCCCTAATATCATGTGAGAGAGGTCCCTTGGCTGGAAATGCAGTCTTAGCATGGTTGGGGTCTGTGGGGAGGCACTAGACTGGACTGGACTGCTAATGCATATGCAGGCAAGATGATCTGGTTCACGTGAGCTGACAGAGAGCCAGTCCAACTTAAGTTGCTGTCATAAAAGCTTGAGATGGAAAGAGTTCAGAGAAGGGCAAAAAGGCTGATCAGGGGGTTAGAAATCAAGCCCTATGAGGAAAGACTGAAAACATTAAGCATGTAATAAGGGAAGATATGATAACACTTTCAAAGTACTTGAAAGGCTGTCATACGGATGAGGGGAAGGATCTATTCTTGACCATTTCAGGGAACAGGACACATTACAATGAGCTCAAATTATAGGAAGCCACAGTCTTCCTAACTGGTAGAGCAATACAGTGGACCCTCAACATATGCACGGCTCAACGGCTTTGTATGCTGCTAGAGCTCTCCTCTTTTCCTCGATGGCTGGCACCAACTCCTCTGAATGGGTTTCGAATCAGTCTGCCATCTTTTTGGTCTTCTTGCCAAATGTGGACAAGGAGGTGGTATAGACAGCATTCTTGGAATGTTCCCATTGTTCAGGTGCATTTGCATCAGCCAGGCCTGGAAGGGTTTCCTCAAGCGCTTGGGCAAATTACTCCACTTTTCTTTGATTGTGAGTCTTGCTGGATGTGGTGGTGCTGTGGGCTAAACCACAGAAGCCTGTGCTGCAGGGTCAGAAGACCAGCAGTCATAAGATCGAATCCACGCAACGGAGTGAGCTCCCATCGCTTTGTCCCAGCTCCTCCGCAACCTAGCAGTTCAAAAGCATGTAAATGCGAGTAGATAAATAGGTACTATCTCAGTGGGAAGGTAAAACGTCATTGCCTAGTCACGCTGGCCACGTGACAACGGAAAACTGTCTTCGGACAGGCTCTGGCTCTATGGCTTGAAAAGTGGGATGAGCGCCGCCCCTTAAAGTCAGACAAGACTGGACTGAAATGTCAAGGGAAACTTTTACCTTTACCTTGCTGATGTCAATATGGGGTCTTCCTTCCTTTTTCATTCGCTACAATCTCTTTGTTCGCAGTTTTAATCTACTACACACCAGGGATCAGTATCATAATCAGCACCCTGATAACTGTGTGTGATTGTAATACTAGGAAGGCTAGAGAGTCTAGTGGGGATCAAATCAAGCTGATGTCAATGCTTTGATCTTGGATGTGTCCAGGAAACTCTGTGTTGAAGCTTCCTATTAAAGAATGAGTTGGGACACAAAGACCATAGAAACAGCAACACTGCAGGAAGCGTTGGCCATTTTCGTTCATCTTCCCAATGCCAAAAACAGCCTAGACAAGTGGGCCAAGAATTGTGATGAGCACCAACTGTAGCGTTAAAATCTCCAAGAATGAACAGCAGCTGTCTCTCAGGGTTTTTAAAATAGTAGCTGCCAGATCATCGTAGAAGTTGTCTTGAGTTCTGTTGTAGACAACAGTGTTGGTGCATATACACCAATGAGGGTGACCGGTCCCACTGATGAGTGGAGCTGCAGAGACAGGATTTTTTTTCATTCCCGACAGTAGGTGGAACAATGGATCACAGCAGTATTTCTAACCACAAAGCCAACACCATATTCCTTGGTCTCATTCAATGGTTTTCCCTGCCAGAAGAATGATAATTTTTTTTTCTTTGACAGAGCCTGAGTCTGGCAATCTTGTCTCTTGCAGGGCAACAATGTCCATCTGCAGCCTACTCAGTTCCATGCCAATGAGAGATGTCTTGCCGGCTTTCACCCTAAACCCCACACACCCCATGAAGTTAACAGACCGTGGCGAGGCAGCACCTTATTGGCTGGCTGGGGGCTGCCCAGCTGAAGGCAAGTGGTAACTACCTAGTGAGGTGCAGTACCCTCCCCTACCATCAGAAGTAACCCCTGGTGTAACGTTCTATGTCAGTCGAGGAAAGACTTATAACCAGTAACTGCTAGTTCCAGTGGTATTTTGATGCTGTATGCGAAGCTGGAGTGTCCTCTCCAGAGCACGAAGCCTGGATAAAATAATATGGAGGACAGGCTGTTACTCAAGCAGCAAATCCCCCCTCTCCACGTCACTGAAATAGTCCAATGGAAAGGCAAGAGCCAATACAACCGGTTCCAGCGACATTGCAGGAGTTGCCAGAGTGTCACAAACTGCCTCTGGGGCTCCGGATTTTGCCTCAAGGTTTACTCTTGAAGCCTTTTCCATCGATGGATATAGCCACAAGACAGTGGAGTTTTGAAATCTTAGTTTTCCTTCTCCTAGAAGATTAGAAATACAGGCCTCCAGCTACTGGACCTTGTCTTCCAAGAGGACCACCAGGCACCACATTTGGCAAGAAAACAAACATGCCACAGGTGTTAAAAGTGACTGCAAAAGATCCTGCACTCGCCATCTTGACTGATTGGTCAGTGAATTAAAAAGAGAGGAAGTCTGATTCTCCCCCTAAAACTTCCTTGCTCTCCCAGGTGTGTGCACTCCTATTTGTCTCTCCTATTTACCAAGTTAGAGTCTAAAAAATAAAATCAGAGAATTCTGATTAGCTTCTGATAGCACTTATTTAAAGCTAAAACTCCATCCCCTCAGACCGTGCGGTCAGGGAGAACAAAGGTCAGAGCAAATACACCCTTGCAAGCCCAGAAATCCACAAGCCTAGAAAAAACTACCACACCAAATAAAATATCCTCCCAGCCACAGCTCACCTTCTGCTTCCCCTTCCTCTGCAGGAAAAAAAAATATATAGCTTCTGATAGCACTTATTTAAAGCTAAAACTCCATCCCCTCAGACCGTGCGGTCAGGGAGAACAAAGGTCAGAGCAAATACACCCTTGCAAGCCCAGAAATCCACAAGCCTAGAAAAAACTACCACACCAAATAAAATATCCTCCCAGCCACAGCTCACCTTCTGCTTCCCCTTCCTCTGCAGGAAAAAAAAATATATTTATAAGATAATGACATAATCTATCATTACAGCCTATCATTGTGAAGAATTCACAATGAAACACTGTACACACCACTTTTGCTCTCATTTCAGGGTTCTGTATTGTTAAGGAGCCTTTTGGACAAAGCTTTTAATTTGTAACCGTTGAGCTCATTCGTGGAATTTGCCATAGGGCTTCAGATAACACTGCCTGCCATTAAGTCATCTTCAGTGGGCAGTCCCACCTGCGTCTCCCACTTTTCCCACTGAAAATTGGAAGTGGTCTGTACTAAACTTTCCCAAATGAGAAAGTGTAAACTTCACCGTACATTTATCCTGTAACCTTTTTTGTTTGAGAAAAGTGACTAACAAGAATACCTGGTTGTCCGTGGGGACGGCTTGCGGGTCTCTTGGAAGAACGACTTCGTGATGACTGAAGCTGATACATCATTGCTGTCATAAATTCACACAGTTAGAGCCTTTTTCTGGCAGTACAAATTATGAGAAATAAGTTGCTGGCATGAGATTAGTAGCATAGATATACATACCACCACTTTGAGGTATATCATCTTCGAAACTCTCATTATCTGGACAAAGAGAGAGTGAAAGAACGAGTGTCAGTGTTGTTCACGTGCATGTCCTATTGATCGTTTCTTGCCTCATGTTTGCATTCTTTGGTTGTTCCCCAAGGCCCTTCCTGCTAGAGGAAGTGAACTGAATTAATCTAGGTTAACGTCTGGGACATCTTTCTCGTGTACGTCTTCCATAAGAATTATACAAGTTCATAATTTGGGCATCTGTAACAGTCAGTAATTTGATTCTTTCCAATGGAACCAGCTTATTATTTATTACATTTTAATCTGTTCCTTTCTCGAGAGTTCAGGACAATGGACTTGACCATCCCCACCCCTCACAAATCCCTCTGGGGCAACAATACTGATGGTAAGATAATGACAGACTCAAGAACAAGGCTTTGACCCCGGATCTCCCTGGGCTGAGTCAAACCCTCAGACTTCAGGTGAGCAGAACCTCTGTTGTGGTTCTTCCTTTGGTGCTTCTTTTCCATATCAGTGGGCAGGATGGGATGCAAAAGTGGGCAGGACTTTCCCCTCTTTCTCACACCCCTTTTTATTCTCACTGCCTTCTTGATACCCTGTTTCCCTTGCTCTTTCTCTGATGGGCGGTGAGAGGAGGGACAACAATTTTTTTTGACAGAAGTCTGATTCTGACCTGAACACATGCAGACCTAATTGCATCTTTTGAAGCTGGTCCGAGGGTCATATAAAATCAGGGCACACACTATTGTTTTCCCACTGCAGCCATTGCATCACACTGGCTCATTCAAGCAATTCTGCGGTGCAACACAGGCACACTACACCACATAACTGATTGTGCCATGCAGGGGGAAAAAATCAAGAAAGAATCTAGTGACAATTTCACCATTAATAGGTTTTATTGAGTCTATGTATAGCAGACAATTAGTGATGTATGGAAGTGAGAGCTGGACCATAAAGAAGGCTGACCGCCGAAGAATTGATGCTTTTGAGGAGACTCTTGAGAGTCCCCTGGACTGCAAAGAGAACAAACCTATGCATAATTGTATAGATATGCATGATATTGACATGATGCGAAGAGAGAGCATGTAGAAAGGTAAAAGATGATATTGACAGGAGCTAGAAGTATAGAAAGATGATCTTACTCATTTAATGTATTCCACTGACATGCTTTTTGATGTATACATATATTCTTCCAATGCCAAGGAACACCTTTCAAAGTTTTCAGCAATGTAACTGTGTTGCTGCATCACAGCAAAAATAGTAGAAAGTCTTATTGGACGTTGGAGACTAATAAGTTTCATTAGTTTGTGGATTGTAGTACAATTTATCAGATGCATGGATTGCTACACATGTGTCCAGGTTGAATGGACCAATCAACAAAAAGTACAAACACACTCGGCTCCCTTAACTATGGTCATTAATAAACAACAGCTGGATGGTAGGAAAAACATATTACCAAAGAAAAGTGGATGAACCCATGATGACAAGGACAAAGAAGTGCAAACCCCAATACAGACATCTTGGCCAGTTAGAACTGCAGCCTTCACCTTGAACAACATTCAAGAGAGAAGGGGTGATGCAGCAAGGATGATATCGCTGCTACATGCTACTGAAAACTGGGTTATGGAAAGGGAAAAGCACCTTTCGCGCCAATGTACCTGCTTCCGTAGGCTTGTTTGCCACTTCCTGGGCATCAGGTTTGGTGACCACCATCGAGGTGAGGGGTGTAACAAAGCTGAACTTCAAGGAGAGGTTCAAAGCTTGAGCTTCCAGGCTTTTCTGCTCTTGCTCCTTAGCTGAAACTCTAGAATGAAGTAACAAAAACCAACACAGCTTGACTCTATGCACTATTCAGAGGCATTAAATGCAGAGCGTGACATATTTAGCTGCTCCAGATTTTGTACTGGAATATTTCTTTATTTTCATTGATTTCACTGCTTACCTGTTTCTCCTCCTACAGGCCCATGGTCTGTTGCTCATGGTCTGTTGGGTAACATACTGGGCTGTTTCTGCTGCCTTGGGGACAATGGAGCTCACTGGGAGGTTCCAGCAGCTCCAATATAAAGTAGGGAGCCAAGGGGGTAAGATCTGGGGTGGGGGTCACCCAGCTAGATCGGAGGCCTGATTGTAATGTCGCCCAGGCTCTTCTTTTGCTCAGGCTTCTTGGAGCAAGAGCTGAGCACAGCAAATAGGGTGGCTGCATGTTTCTGAATTTGTTTCCTGATCTCTGTTTCTCTCTTTCTCTCCTGGCATGAAGGGCAGCAATCATACCTAGGTGGTGTGCGTGGGGGATGTCCAGATTCCACGAACCACCAAGGCATTGCATGGGGGTTCGATACCACATCTGAGATCTGATGTGGGCTTGACAGAGGCCAGGCTTCTCTGAAGTGACACCTTTGTGATCAGCAGATAGGCCCACAACATATAGCGATTTCTGGGCATAGCTGGACGGGGAAAGTTGGGTCCTGTTGCCTATTCATCCACATGTTTCCCCCCTTGGTTTCAAGTTTCAGAGTTTTTGTTATGCTGATAAAGCTATGCCAGTGGGGTGCAACATACCATTTGGATCACTATTTTGGGGCCCACCCCTATTTCAGCACTCTGGCAAGCTTCCAGTTGCATGCCCAGTCTCATGTGGGTTGCAAGGCCAATCGAGTGATCAGTCATATGACGAGGGCCCTGCTGAAACGGGAGAAAGCTTATGTGGTTTCCCTTATGTTCTGAACAGGATACCAGCCATTGTTTTTAGCTCTCTTCTAAAACTATCCTGATCAAATGAAAAATACAGTCCTCCCTTTGAAAAGGCCAATTGTGCCGTTTAAAGTTATCACGTTTGGGGCACTTTGAAGACAGAAGGTAAGAGTATTTGTCAAGCTGTTAAATGAAATCTGAACATAGTCTTTGCTTACGATTTTTCCAGTAGTTGTTGAATGGTTAAGTAGGCCCACAATCTCTCAGTGAACTTTCCAAAGATGTATTTCAGATCTTGAAATACTTGCTCCTTTTCCATGACATTTTCATCCTTTTGGAGGGTCAGATTAAAACCATTCTGCAAAGTAGGGAAAGGGAATTATTCACAACAACACAGAACCTTGAATGCAGGACGGGCTCCTCTATTGTCACTCCGTGAATAGAGTCGTGTCTCTCAGCAGAACCAGAGGCACAGCTCTCGCCCGGACAGCTCCTGTGTTACCACATCTGAGCAGGTGGGGGAGTGCATGGAGAGCTGCAGGCATGATGGAAGTATAGTGTGTCTGTGTGCTTGTGTATGTGTGTGTGGGGGGGCTTCCCCTGTATTTGAGGGGTGGGGAGAAAATTCTGCTGAAAGTCTCAAAACAGTTCTGTGGACTCCAGTTTCTGGCTATCTGGAGTTCTAAACAAGACCAGGCCTATTCAGGGGCTGTGGATCCCCCTCTACCAGTGCTATAAGTCCCCGCCCCCTTGTGTCTCTGCAACAGGTGTTGTCCTAGTTCAGATTCAGTGACAATTTCCTGTTCAGCCAGAGAAATGGGTTTCATACACGGAACTTACTGCTTGAGCTTTAATGTTCACAGGAAAAACCTCAATGTCATTGTCCAGCTTTCCAGCAACTACAATTTCGGAGCCATCAAAGAGCACGTTGAAAGTATTCTGAGTGATTTCTTGAACATGGTCAGGATACTTCATTTCAATTCCCTTCAGGATGGGAGTGGCGACCTCTTGATAAAAGCCCTTGAATGAGAGAGAGGCGGGGAAAGGTAACCGCAGGAAGAAATTTTAGAACACGCAGATACTATACAGGTTACAGATGTACGCACAGATATATTCTGAAAGGCAGCTGTTCATATTCATTGCAGGAAACCCAGCAGAGACTAATCTTATGGCACTTTAAAGACTAAGAAGACTTACTTTGGGCTTTATAAGCTACTTTTGGACCACACCCAATCTGATGCATCTTATGAATGGGGCAGCAGGAAGACAAAGCTTTTGCCAAAACACTGTAGAACTGTGCGAAAAGTTTTGTTTGGTTAAGATCAATGCAAAAGGTGTTTAGCATTTCTGGAAAAACCTTTTAAAGCAAAGTTAATATTTATTTATTTAAAATATTAGATTCTTCTTCTTATCGTCATCATCATCTTACCTGGAGCTGCAGGGCTGCATCAGAATCCTCATATATACGCCGTGCAATGCCTCCATTGTCTAAGGCCATCTTTTCCAGAAAGGAGTAGCTGACATCAAATCCAAAGCCAAGGCAGTAGAGGAAGTACTTTCCATTATTGGCTCCTTTTATGTTTTCTTGAATCTTAGCAATGTCTGTTTCACCTATAGCATTTGTAAAAAGAATGCTTCATCTATTGTAACTTAAGGTAGATCAACAGAAATAAATGAAACTTATTACAGTAGTTACAATTAAGTCTCTTGGACAGCAGTGGATCGATGTAGACAGGGGCTATGATTAACATTGGAGTTAGCCCATACAGCATAGCCCTAAGTCCTTTCAGAAGTAACTCCCACTGAATTCAATGGCATTTATTCTTGAGAATGTCTGCGTAATGGACATGGCAGTCTTACTGGGGAGAGACTGAGGCTGTTATTCAAAGACTTATTGCTTGAGAACTGTCAAGTCAGAACTGACTTACAGCATTCCTAATAGGGTTTTTCAGGTATGTGAGATATTATTAAGTTTTGCTCCCTCAGTGAATTTTCATGGCTAAGTGGGGAATCAAGCCATGGTCTCCAGAGCCCTAGTCCATGACTCTATCTGTTGAACCATACTAGGTACCCAATATAAAATAGCTTACTATAATTATTAGTTTAAATTCAGTTTGGTTTATTTGGAAGATAAAGAAGACACTACTGGGGGTTCATACACATGGTTATAGTTGTTAACAGTTTTTTTAATCCGTCCCCAAAAATATCAGGACCACACCCACCAGAAAGACCACCGTTAATGACTGTTAACCACCCATGACAATGGGTGAAGAAGGACTGCAGAGGTGCATTTTCACTCACCTCCTCCATCCTTTGTCCATCAAATTAGCCTATTCAGACCAGAGGGAAGTGAAACCAACATGGAGGATATATCAAGGCTCTCCTACCAACTCTCCTCAGACTGAAGAAGCTACTTGGATGAGTAGTGTAATGTTTCAACATAATACAGTAAGAAAGAAGTCCAGTTGCCATGACTTAACTTCCAGATAGAAATAGGTCATTTTCTTTAAAAACACCTCTGCCAAAGTTCAGCTTATTTTCTCACTTCTTTCTGATTCTCTCTGTGTCTTTTTCTCTATATTTCCTTTTCCCTGTCCTCTACATTCTTCTTTCCATCCAGTTCCATCTTTCTTGCCTATTTGGTTCTCCCTTCTTCAAGTGTATGAAAGTATGAATACCGGCTCAATTTGCCAAAGGCTTGTTAAAAATAGCTGAAATGTTTTGTAAGGGAAACACATTGAAGAAGGTTTGAAATTGCAGTCTGTTGATGCAAAAGAGCAAAGCAAAAGCAAAGCAAAGCGTGCTGCTTATATAAGGCCCCACAGAGCTTCAAGTACTCTCTGGGCGGTTTACAAGTTAATTATGCAGGCTATACACCCCCCCCCCCCGCAGCAAGCTGGGCACTCATTTTACTGACCTCGGAAGGATACAAGGCTGAGTCAACCTTGAGCCGGCTACCTGGGATTTGAACCCCAAGTCGTGAGCACAGTTTTAGCTGCAGTAGAGCAGTTTAACCACTGTGCCACAAGGCTCTTCTTGAAGAGCAGGGAGACATTGTAGAATAACCTAGTGCAATGGTTCTTAACCTTTGTTACTCAGGTGTTTTTGAACTGCAACTCCCAGAAACCCCAGTCAGCAGAGCTGATGGTGAAGGCTTCTGGGAGTTGCAGTCCAAAAACATCTGAGTAACAAAGGTTAAGAACCAGTGACCTAGTGCATATTAGTCCAATTGAGCTAATAGTATGATTAAGAAGTACAGTATTATAAAAATGGAAACGAACTGTGATACTTCATTGTTTCCAGCTTACCAACAGTAGGCTGGCCATCTGTCAGCAACATGATCATTGAGACACTTTCTTCTGGCAATATTTCAGCGGATGTCGCTTTGTCCAATGAATGCATTGCGGTCAAAAGAGCACCATTTATATTTGTTCCTGTAATGGGAAAGAAAACATAACAATGACATTGTCTGTAGAACTGGATTGTTCTTCCAAAATCTATAGAATTCAGCAGTGTCATGACAACACATTCATTTTTCATTATGCAGCAACATGCTGCATGTAAACTGTCCTCTCTTTTTTTACTATGACAGGTTTGCTACACATATACTACATGCAAAGGTGGGAAAGGGTTACGACTTTGAGAAAGGTTGTGATGCTTTACAGGTATCTGCCAATCAGGTAAGTTGAAGGATTTTTTTAAAAATTGCAAGAGCTTCCTTTGCAATTCTTATGCATCCACTCTTTTATAGCTACTCACGTAGGGGAGATGATCCTGGGACCACGTGGGGTGAGAAACAACTACTGTAGATGGCTTTGAGCAGAATCAAGGTTGCAATGAGCTAATTTGCATCAGTGAATATGATTCTGTTTGGCTGTGCTAGTTATCCAGAAAAATGCTTTTTTAAAATCTTGCATTGATTTTTTTTGCATCATTGACAGGAGGGGAAACCATTAAGTTTCCTCTCCTGTCACAAACCTATTAAGGGGGGGTATCCACTCAGGTCATGAATAGTAATAAGCTATCTGCACAGACCAATGAGAGTGCTGGAGAGACAGAGTCACAAGATATAAGAGTCTCTGAAGAAGGAGGAGGTGAATTGACAGTTGAGGAGAGAGATTTGAAGAGTTTTGGGAGTTTGGGTGGGAGGGTGGTGGTTGAGAGGGGATAAAGAAGGAAGTTTGTTTAAGAGTTAACAACATTGCTTGTTCTGTCAACATCTGTAACAATAAACAATTTGTTTTTGGTTCTTTTTTAAAATGACACATTGCCTGGACCGCTGTGATTAATAATAAACAATGTTGATGTAATCAACTGCTGGCAGCAGAAAGACACGCAGCGTGAGCTCTTATTTTGGTGAAACAAGCAGGGGCCACAAGGGAATGTGACAATTGGTTCTGTTCTAGCAGGGGCTACCAGTAAGATTCGGGTTTAGGGCTCAAGAGAAGAAAATATTCCATTAAAATAGTAAAAAAGTAAAATCAAAGTAAAATCAAATATTCCATTAAAGTAGTAAAAAAGTAAAATAAAATAAATATGAAGGTTGGATACATATAAGTGTGAATTGAGTAGTTCAATCTAAAACTGAATGCAGAAAAGAATGTCTACATTTTTTAAAAAGGAGGAATAGATCATGTTTTTGAGCAGGAAAAACTCCATCTAGCAGATGAATGGAAAACTGAAATAGAAAGCCTAAATTATTTATTTTATTTGTTTTATTTATAGGCCTTAAATTGGATGGAAGATCACTGTCCCAAATCTTGTTTTAATACCTGGCACAGCTGTCTTCCATTCCTAAATTTGTATTTATAATCAGAACTCTACTGAAAATAAAATAAAACATCATCATCATCTGCCAATAAAAAAGATGGAATGATATACCCCATCTGCAAATGTCCAAATATTGCACAAACAGATTACAGAATTAGACATGATAGAGTGGCAAAGTTAGTACACTGATCATTATGCAAAAAATATAACTTGCCAGCGTGTAAAAACCCATGGGAACATCAGGTAATGAATGCATCAGAAAATGAGGAGGCCAAGATTGTGGGATTTCAAGATCCCAGCCTTGAACATAGCATATCAGAAACTGTATAGTAGTACAGTAACAGAAGGAAGAAATGTCTGCATTATTGACATTGCAATTTCAGGGGATGCCAGAGTTGAAAATAAAGAATTCGAAAAACTAACAAAGTACAGAAACCTGGCAATCAAAACATCTTGCTTGGATGAAACACACTTCAGTGGTCTCCTTAGTCATTGGGGCTTTAGGAACAATATCAAGAAATTTCACATTGTACTATAATCAGTTACAGATCTCAGATATAACGCCATAAGAGCTACAATAAATGGCAGTATTAGGAAGGCATACATATTGCACTGATTTTTTTTTAAACTTAGGTTTTTGGTTAAAACTTGTATTTTTTTAAAAAAAAAACTTAGGTTTTTGGTTAAAACTTGTATTTGTTATATAATCCCAGTCAATGTTTTTGTAGTTGTAATTGACTGTGCCTGGTATTTTATAACAGCAAGAGGAGAAGCAGCAGCAGCAGCAATAACTATAACAACAACAACAACAACAACAACAACAACAAACAACAACAACAACAACAATACCTCCTTGAGCAAAAATGGTCCGAACATATTGTTTTGCCCGTTCCACATTCTCTTCTGTGGCTTTCAACAAGACCGGTTGCCACTCAGCAACACCGGCACTAAAGACTACTAAGTTAAAATGGTCTTCAGGATACAGATCTTCCAAAATCTTCTCCAGGGCCTCTCTTGTCTATAAATATGAGTGAAGTAGCACATAATTTTTAGGCATGTAGATATAGTCAGAATCTGAGGTGCTTTCAAATAAAAGATTTCTACAGCATATGTAGGAGAGTTGGATCTTGACTGAATAGTCAGCCATTTCTTCCCTACATTCTTAGGGGCCCATAACAAAAACAACAACAACTATAGAGTCCTCCATAAAGATCATTCCCATTTCATTCAAGCAAAGCAGCTGACAGTCAAAATAGAACAGAATTGGCTTTCCTGGGATTAGCCTCCTCCCTCCTCCCATGACATGAAATCCTGAAAGATATAACCCTAGTTAATCGTTTTGCAAATTAAAGTTGTGTTTACCTTCCAATGGCCGCCATGCATGGAGTGCCACCATAATAGCTGCTGCGTTGCTCAAATAAATATTGTTAAGAGAAGGTCATCAGACGCAATTTATAAGGTTGCAACAATTGTGGCAGTACTACAGGGCTTTACACACATACGGACCCAAATCATTTCTAGGGGCCACCAGAGCCTGATAGAAGTATTGAATATGTATGTAAATAAACCAGACAAGGAGGGTGTGATTTAGATTCCTGCACTGAGTAGGGAAATGGCCTCATAGGTCCCTTCCAACTCCTTGCTGCCCCCCTTCCATCTTTAGAAGCTCCTCCACATTATCTGGAACCCTGGTTTTAAAGGGTTTCAATTTGCATAGCAAGCCTCCATGGATGGAATAGACTTTCCTCTTCAGACCTACCACCCTTTGAAGCAGAGATGTCTTTAATGCAAAGGGGTGTAATCCCTGTAATCTTTGCATTACAGAGATGTCCGTAATGCAAAGAGCTGTTTTGATTAGATTTCAGCCTTTCCTTGAATGCTGCGTGAAGTGCTTTCAAACTCATCAAAAAGAGTTGTGCCAGTGGGAGACAGAACAAGTTAATGTGTACCATGATAGTATCATTTCTATAATACTTCATTTCACTCAGAAGTGGTAATGTGCACCCAACCAGCGAAGAAGCGGATTTGAATCAGGGAAGGGTAGAAGGAAGGCCAAGCTACCATTACCGACACAAAACAAAGAGAATATGGGGAAAAGAAAATCACCAAATAGCAAAGTTGTATAAACTATTATTGGAAAGAAACATAGAACAGGAAGTAATTAAAGAAAATATGATAACATGGATGCAGGAATTAGGTAAAACAATTCAAACAGAGGATTGGTTTAGAGCATGGAAGGATAACCAAAAGCTACAGTGGGGTCTTGACTTGAGAACTTAATCCGTATTGGAAGGCGGTTCTCAAGTCAAAAAGTCTGTAAGTCAAGTCTCCATTGACCTACAGTGCATTGAAAACCGATTAATCCCGTAACAGGCCGATTTTGTTCCATTTTGGTTTTTTTCTGGTCTGTAAGTCAAATCTCAGTCTGCAAGTCAAACCTAAATTTTGCAGCCAGAGAAGTCTGTAACTCAAAAAGTCTGTAAGTCAAGCCATCTGTAAGTCAAGGGTCCACTGTATGAAGACAAGAGACAAAAATTTGTTTATACATATTAGGTGAAGTCAAGTGGCAAAACAATGGAAAGACAAGGAGGAACGTTTGGTGGAGGATTGTTTAGTAAAATTAAGGAACTAATATTAATGGACAACCTAACAGACTCATTGAAAGAAAAGAGAAGAATGGAGGACAAATTTCAATGGGGGAAAGTAAAGAGTTATCTTAGAGAGAAATGGAAGAAAGATTCCAAACCTGTACTAAGGGACTTAGGTTTAAATTTGATGCAGAATTGCTCTCAACAGAAGTAAAAACAAAGTAAAGCAGATTGTTAATATGGATCTAAAATAAGAATTAAGATATTATTAAGATTGTGAAGAAAGTAAATGTCTGGTGGAAAATAAGGAAGTTAAAATGTTAAAGACATAACTATTTTGCAAAAGAGATAATGGAAAGTTATTTTGGTTATGTGCTAATATTGTGATAATTTTTAAACTTATTTTTATAATTTCTTTTTTAAAAGCAATAAAGATTAAAAGTAAAAAAAGACAAAAAAGACAAGCCTCCAGAGCTATTTCCCAATTGATAGGTCGCAAAGACAGTAGAGGCTATGATCAGTTGAGGGACAGCTTTAAAGATTAAAAGTAAAAAAAAAAAAGACAAAAAAGCGAAGCCTCCATAGCTGTTTCCCAATTGATAGGTCAAAAAGACAGTGGAGGCTATGATCAGTTGAGGGACAGCTTTAGAATAAACTAGGCTTCGTTGTGAATCCCGAGGTAGAGACACCTGGTGCCTTTGTCATCACGGGAATGTAGCATGTGCTTGGCACACAACACACTTCCCAGAGGAAAAAAACCTCCCCGGAAAATGTTTTATTTTGAGACAAGTTACCTGCTGGATTTTTTTGCCAGACATTGATCCACTTTTGTCTATAACGAAGATGACATTTTTTGGAAATGCTGGCATTTGATTAGGAGCAAAATAATGCACAAAATATCCATTTACAATCTGAAACAGAAAAGTAGTGTTAATGCTTTTCCACCTATGTATTTCAACATTGCAGTACACAAAATCAAGGAACTTAAGATTGTTTGTTTGTTTGACTTTTATACCACCCAATTAGTACAAAGTACTATTTTGGGCAGCTAACATTCGATAGGGTTAAAGAAGAAAAAAACAAGAACAACAATAGTAAAAACACAAGGATAAAACAAATCAGCGCCAGCATCACGAGACAAGAAACCAGAACATCAACCCATAATTGGACAAGGAGGGCAGTTTCCCCTGAGGTCTCTGTGAATAGCTGAGTCTTGAGCAATCTCTTCAAGGTAGGCAGGGAGAAGGCCAGGCATAGCTCAACCAGGAGCCGATTCCAAAGGGCTGATGCCACACCTGAGTGAGGGCCCGTCTAAGAATAAGCTGACTTTTAGTAGATGTTTTTCTGTCCTCCCTTGGTGTGGCAACCTGGAGCAGCATGGCCTGAGGGAATAAGGTGGCAAGGTTTCATGTTTTTGGGGAGAGGTGCTCCAACAAGTATTGGAGTCCCAAACCATGGAGTTTTTTTTTTTTTATAAAGAAGCACCAAAACCTTGAACCTGATCCAGGACATCACAGGTAACCAGTGCAGGTGAGCCATGCCTGGGGAAATGTGGTCAAATTTACTCACACACTTCATCAGTTTGGCAGCTGCATTTTGGAACCATTGCCATCTCTGTGCCAGTCTTAAGGGATGCCCCACATAAAGAATGTTACAGTAGTTGATCTTGGAGATCACCAATGCATTCACCATTGTCCTCAGGGCTCCCTCGTCTACATAGTTTAAGTGTGGAAATTAAGCACAAAGATTATTGTGGAGATTAAGCATCTCCACAATTATCCATGGAGAAGGTAACTGTGGAGAGGAAAAAGGGTTCTAAACCTGTTGCCTAAGTCCTCCTAAAATAATGACTGAATAGTTCTTGTTTCTCTAATGGAGACTGAAGGACCTTAGATTTTGCCATTAGTTGTAGTAAAATAAAATGAGGCGCTTCTCTAAATAACAATTAAAGACAATCTGACTTATGCCACTTCAACATCTCAGACAGGCTTTCTTTATAATATAGTTATTGATTTTTCCCACAGTAGCAAAAAGCCAACTCTCACTTGATGATCTCACCCTTAAGCATGCATACATAGAAAGTCTGGCCAATATTCTGTTCAATATTTATGCATTTGCTCAGCTCCAGATACAGAAGCTGCTGCAGTGATCCGACAAGAGGGCAACAGTTTCTGTAGTTTGAAGTAAGCAAATGCTCAAATAAATATTGAACAGGGTACTGGCCACTGGCTAAAACTAAGGTCAAAGAACTTGTCAATGTTCCCTCTTCTCCCAAGGTGTCTCTTGAATTCAGCAATGTGATGTCCATCAGATGGACATCTTTTACCTGCACATCACCGGCAGCAAGACTCCTGTTAACATCATAACGGATAACAAAATCACCATCCAGCAGAGTTTCTTCTGATCCAGGATTTTTTCTTTGTTGATTTATAGTAGGTTTAAATGAAATATGAGCCTAGAAATTAGAGGCATGGGTGAAAGCCATCAGTCAATTTTGCACAGAAGGGCAAGAGCTGATATTTCAAGGACACTAGGACTTCTGGCTCAGGTCATGTACCTTTGTGTCCCCCTGCGTCTTTGTGAGGGCATCATTCAATTCATTGGTCATGAAGGTGCTTTGAGATTCCAAGAAACGTATACCCTGAGGTTCAAAGATGTGGGTATCAATCTGAAGAAAATAAGGAGATGCTGTAAGGTCATGCCTTGCAACTGTGACATGGCATCAAGAGATGGTTGCATTTCTGACAGAAGCTTCTTCTTACCTGAAAATGATTAACAAGCTGTTTGGGCTTGACTTTAATCAGCAGTTCATACTTTCCTAGCTTCCGTTTTAGTAATTCCTCATAGATCAGCTCAAAGTTAACCTTGGCAGCTGGTGCAACATTGACTGAAACATGAAACTGTTCTAGTTTTCTTCCAGCGGATCTGGAAATAAGAATGTATACCTTTGTCTTTATTTATGCTATAAATTGGCATCTGTTCTTCAAATCTGCATGGGAAGAAATTTTCATTCCGGTTAAAAAGCTGTGGATAATCCCATCCTAAATAATGGTCCAAGGACTGTTAATCACCCATGTAATTGATGTGTCCTCTCCCTCTTTTTTCTCTCTCCAGTAGCTCTTTATTTATTTATTTACATTTCTACGATACCTTCTCTCAATTAAGGGACCTAAAGCAGCTGCATCAACTTCATAGATCAGCAGTTGGAAAGGTACTTTGGAATAGCAATTAGTTTTGTAATTTGAAGGCTTTACAAGTAGTTATGCTCGTTATAAGGACTATCTTCCAACTACAGTTACCGTTATACTACAGCTATTTTTCATGCCGGGGTAAATGGTGGCCATGGTGGTCGACCAGACCAGATGGGCAGGAAATAAATAAATAAATAAATAAATAAATAAATAAATAAATAAATAAATAAAGCAAATAAATAAATAAATAAATAAATAAATAAATAAATAAATAAATAAATAAATAAATAAATAAATAAATAAATAAATGGTGATCAGAAGTCTTCTCAGTGGAAATCCCATTTCTCCTGGAAGTGTTGAAACAACAGTCCTGGGGAACCATGGAAAAACAGACTTTCTGGAGGTAGTGTTGGTTGATGGTGTAGACATTAACTACTCTGTAAACCACTTGGTCCTAAACTAGTTTGAGCTTTTAATATTGTTATGTCCTGAGACATAAGCTTCTAGAGCAGTGGTTCTCAGCCTTGCGTCCCCAGATGTTCTTGGACTAAATCTCCCAGAAGGCTTCATCCCTAGCTGTGCTGATCAGGATTTCTGGGAGTTGGTCTAAAAACATCTGGGAACCCAAGGTTGGTAATCCTTGCTCTATTGTATATGACATCCTTACCAAGAGGAAGAGTGAAAGTTTTTGTTGGACCCTTGTTGACCTGTACTTAAATGGAGCAGAACTTTCCAGGAAAATGGAACTGAGTTTGCTAATGCAGCTGAGCGTTATCAGCTTTGAAGTTCATATTCCAACACTGGAAATCAAATGTTGTACTTCAGTGACTTAATTATGAAGTACTTTCCAATGAGCTTCAATACATTTGATTATTAAATACGGCATACTTGACCAATCCAGCACTTTGTCCTCTTGAAACAGCAGCATTGTACTGGTCTTGGGCAGATTTCTTCTCCTTGATTATTCCAGGATATGAGACCCCATCTATGGTCCTGAAAAAACAATATTTTGAGAGATTTCAGTCATTAGAAGGACATGTAGTTCAACTACATTCTCATGTGAATCTAAGGTTATGCTATGCTATGCTATGGTATGCTGAACATTTATGTGCCACCATATATCATGAGATTATAGCAAGGGGTACAATAAAACAAAATAACACAAGCTTACCCACATAGACATGCACACACAAACACACACTCACAAACACACATTCACAAACACATGAACATACATACTTATCTAAATGAATTTTTAAAACATAGACCAACTGGGCAATTTAAAATCAATTCAAACCACATTTAAAAAAATTAAAACTCTACACATTACAAAAGCTTCACAAAATATTGAAGCCAAGATCTTTAAACCCCAAAGATTCTGGCAAACATCTATGTACTGTATTAACTTGGCATGACATTAGGTCAATATTTGCAAGAGTTGAGCCTCCAAGGGGAGGACATTCCACAGCCGAGATTCTACAACTGAGAAAGTCACTTCCCATGTTTCCACGCAATTTATCATCCTCATTGGTAGGACATGGAGAAGGTCTCCTCAGTGTATCTTAATGATCAGTCAGGTATAGGTATGAAGATGCGCTCCCTTAAATACCTAGATGTCAAGCCAGTTCAGGTTTTGCAGGTCATCATCAACACCTTGGACTTAGCCCAGAAGTGCATTGATAGACAGTGTAATTCTTTCAGAACTGGTGTCATAAGAACTGTGAAATGTGTTCTTGTCAGTGCTCTAGCTGCCATATATGGTACATCTATGCCATGTTCAAAGGCACTGCCCCAAAGAGCTCATTGTGGAAATCTAACTAGGAGCTTACGAGTGCAAGAAGTGCAGTGGCCAGATTGTCTCTGTCCAGGACCTCTCATAGCTGCAGTCCAACCAAAGCTGACCCCAACTACTCTGAGTCACTGAATTTACTGAAGCCTTGTCTTATAGAGAAGGGACATGGTGGCGCTGTGGGCTAAACTGCAGAAGCCTGTGCTGCAGGGTCAGGAGACCAGCAGTCGTAAGATCGAATCCACACAACGGAGTGAGCGTCCGTTGCTTGTCCCAGCTTCCGCCAACCTAGTGGTTCGAAAGCATGCAAATGCAAGTAGATAAATAGGGACCACCTCGGTGGGAAGGTAACAGCGTTCCGTGTCTAAGTCGCACTGGCCATGTGACCACGGAAGATTGTCTTTGGACAAAACGCTGACTTTATGGCTTGGAAATGGGGATGAGCACCGCCCCTTAGAGTTGAACACGAATGGACAAAAATTGTCAAGGGGAACCTGTACCTTTACCTGTCTTATAGAGATGGATCTAAGAATAGCCTCAAACTATGCACCTATTCCTTCATGGAGAGAGCTGAAGCCTAACCAGGACTGGCTGCCTACCAAACCCCTGGCATGGGAGCTACCAAACCATAAAGCCCTCATCTTGTCAGGGATCAATTTCAGGATATTTAACCTCATTCAGTCTATTAGACTATCCAAATAATGGGTCGCCATCTTCACAGCTTCAGCTGACTCTGATGATGAGAAGCAGAAATCGGTATCCTCATAATATGGAGAACATCTGCCTACCCAACATCTAATGATTTTAAAGTGTATTAAGGCAGTGTAGATGTGCTGCACAGCTTCTTCTTCTTTTTAAAGGAATGGAAAACTTCCTCCCAGAAGTAGGAGGGCATAACAAGAGGGGCAGGGCTGTTTGCTTGTCTCTTAAAGGAGATGAGGAAGTGTTTAATTTGCCAATATCCTGAAACTGATCTCTTCTTAAGACAATTCACAATACAGTGGTGCCTCGACTTACAACCATAATCTGTTCCAGAAGACAGACATAACTCAAAATGATCGTAAGTCGTAGCACCATTTCCCATAGGAAAAAAAAAACCCACAAAAAAACAACCAAAGAAACCCACACACACAAAAAAACACCCCCACCCCACAAAAAAACAACCAAAGAAACCCACACACACAAAAAAACACCCCCCACACGGTAAGCCCCATTGGAAGGTGGTGGAACTGAAAGAAAACAAACAAACAAAATAAACAGCACAGCAAGCCCCATCAGAAGGTGCTGGGGCATTTTAAAAAAACCCCAAAAATAAACAGCACAGCAAGCCCCATTGGAAGGCCCTGGGGCTGAAAAAATAAACACACCAAAACACACACAAAAAATCACAACATAGAAACATAACCCCCTCAGCCCAAACCCACCCTGCAAAACCCTGTAAATGTACATACTCAGAAGTAGAAAGTAGCAACAGGCAGTCCCAAGCCTCCTCCGACATACAAACTCTAACCATTGAGGTGAAAGAGCTACAAAGAAGCTCTTTGCCGACCAACGGTTAGCCCTCTAATTTGAATTCCCTGCCTTTTTCCCTTGCCTCTTTTGATCGCAACTCAAAGCTCCAGCTGCAAGTTGAAGCAAAATTTTGGTATCAACTCAAAATGGTCATATGTCGGGATGGTTGTAAGTTGAGGCACCACTGTATTAGCAAATGCAATGAGGAAGTTTTGCTTTGGTTCATTTCCGGCAATTGCACATACTGGAAACAAACCAAAATGGAGCAATTCCTATCTGCACCAAAAAATTAGAAGCCCCTGGAGAGGGGTCATAAAGGTGCAGGTAGAAGTGAAAGTGGGCTTGTTTGCTCCAATAAAGATGTTGTATGATCACCAGCTTTAGGAGTGCACCGAACCAAACAGCTAATTAAATGTCCATGGAATCATCCTCTATATTTCCAACAAGCCTTGCTTGTATCACTGTAAAGTGCAAGCAAGGAGGGTTTAAATTTGATAAGTAGCTTCTTAATTGATACCGATGGGGAAATCCAATATTTTCTCAGTATGAGTTTCTATGGAGCTTCAGATTTGCATGGCATGTTAGAAGAAAGTATGCTAAAGTCTCAAGCAGAATTAAATCGCATTGAATTTTAGGCTTTATTATAGAGCATCTGGGTTACCCAGGGTTGGGAACTCCTGTAGTAGAAAAATGTATTTACTCTTCTGTAGTAACTCTGTGAGATGACCCTTCATGAGAAGCCATCATTTCCCCTCACAACTTGTAAATCCCTCTCATTCATTCTCGAAGAACGTATAACTTTGTTTCCACCGGCTGGATTTTAAGAGATATGAAAGAGATGAGCTCACATGCTGAAGTCTGTGATGAAGGCCGTCTTGGGTAACTCCACCTCAAAAAGAGCTTCCTTGGATTCATTGGCTCGGTTGACGACTCTGCTCGTGATGACTGTGTGAGCAAACCGTGAAGTGACTTTGCAGTCCACATGCAGGCTGTATATTTCAATGGGATTCTGGGGAAGAGAAGGAAAAACCTGTGTCCTCAGTCCAGCTCCTGCAGCAGCTGAAGATGTCAATACAGTGCGGGCGATTCAGATTTAAAAAAAAATTCAAGCCAATAGCCAAGCCAAAGGATTATTTTAGAGGCACTTTCAAAGGTCAATTGTAGCCAGAAAGCTACTTTGGGGCAGTAAGACCATGCCTTTTCTGGGGCCCCTGAGCAATCCCTTCCATTGTTGGGAACCTGAAAACACCGAGGGATGGAAAGGGGAAGTTTTGTTTACTGAAAATCACCCCTTCTAGGATGACTATGGAGGTGATGACATGTCTTTAATGAACAACCAGGGACCTTGAACGACGGGGTATCAGACTGGCACTCATGGCTTCCTTACATGATTGCCTACAAGTTGATTTTGGTTTAAAGTCAGAATTCCGTAACAGATGTTTATTCTAGCTGCAATTTATTGGGCAGGTTGTCATTATACCAGCCAGAAGAATCACAATTACATTGGTTATAATGTTATTTAAATCAGTTTATAAATTCCTGGGCAAACTATGCACCAAGACGAGGAGGGCAGTCTGCACCTGTTCTGTGCCCACTCTGCACCCGCAGAGTGAGTGCAGAAAGTCAAGGAGGATGTTCTGCGCCAGCTCTTCGCCCACTACGTGCTCCCAGAGTAAGCGCACCAGGACACAGTGGACAGTCAGCAGGCCAGGAGCATCGCTAGGGGGACACCTTATTTAGTGATACTGTATACTACTTAGTTTAAAAAAGAAATTAAAACCAGTGTTCTCTCTGGAAACATAATGGAAATGAATCAAAGCAATTTCAGTCAATGTGAATGCGCCTACCAAGTTATGTACCAAGTGACTTTACAGCGATCAAAAAAAAGTTGAGTCTGAGATCAATGTAAATCAGCCATATGAATGAGTCTACAGTTAGAATACACTCATTTGAATCTGTGGAACTCACTGAGATGTTGACTCACCAAATAACCATTGATTCAGTGGGCCTCTTGCAGTATGATTTAGTGTGCTAAGTAACAGGATTTTGGGCACTGTATACCATAGATGTAAGTCATGATTAAGTTACCAAAGGGCAGAGTGCTTTCAAATATTTAAAAATTCCATGTTTATGTAACACATCACAATTCAATACATGTTTATTCAGAAATAAGTAAATAAACAGAGATGGAGATCAGAGAGATCTCCTAGGGGAGATGAATATGACTCTCACCACCACAGGTGGCCGGGCCCTTTGGAACCACTCCCAGAACTGGCCAGTCCAGTTAGCACTCATGGCGCGCGGGGCCACTGTCATTTGCACCATGCCAATCACACAGCTGACCACTCAGCAGCTGAGTGGGGAGACTCGTCATCTCCCTTCCTCCCCAGAGTGGTCAGCAGTGCAGGGAGGTGGAGAAGCCTCAGCTCGGCTACTTCTGTGTTTGGTGCAGTGCAAATGACAACAGCAATGTGTTGCACCATGAGTGGTAAGTGAACTGGCCTGTTCAAGGGTAGGTCTATGTACCCGACTGCCTGTAGGGTGATATTCATGTTCATCTCCCCTGGGAGACAAATACAAACACCCCACCTCTATTCACAAAGTTAAAATGGGATTTTCTCCTATAGAAAAGCATGTGTAGCATAGGTTTGCATCTTAAGCAAAGCAAAATACTGCACTATTGCCACATCTTAATTTAATTCATTAAAAGACTTGAAATGTAAGCTAGCAGAAGCTTAACTAATCCTAAGTACAATTTTTGTCTGCTTTTTAAAAAAAAATCGAACCTGTAATTTTTTGAAAAATATCAATTTCAGGAATGTAGGAAGCTACCTTATATATAATAAAGTGACACTATTGTTGAGTCTAGATTTATGTTATAGGGTATAAAGATGTGCACCAGGGTCAATGCATCCCTGGCTGTTTTTGAGCCTCACTGGGCTGAATGGACACTGCTGGAATTCTCCAAGATACATTGCGAAAAGGAATTGCAGCTTGCTCCCATTTAAAAACACTTTTAAAAAAGCCCTCTCCCGTTTCCTGAAGCTGTGAGTTCTAATCATTGCCAGTTTTGGTTTTGAAAAACACCTCCAAAATTTCATGGGGGTGAAGCCTCTGTGCAACCCCCATTTCTTCTGGGAGGGACAGGATACTAGCTTCTGGGTTGCTGAAGCTTGCCTCCCTTTTGTCCTGGCACTGTCTAAATGCAACTTGATCATTACAATTGTATTGTAAGATAGAGCCAACTTAACTTTAGCCTTGCCTTAATTAAATGTTGCGGTATTAACATGACAGTTACAGTGAGCAATAATTTTTTTAAGAACTGGCTACTGAACTGCATTCATTCAACTGTACTGTATATGGACTTCCATTCTAGTCTTTGTTAGTTCTCTGGCACCCCTTAGTCTTCCTGGGCATTACACACTGTTGGGGAAATAGGTCATGAAGACCCAAGTTTGCTTTGCAAATACATGAGCTGTCTTTCCATCATAATTAATTCAATCCTACAAATTGCATTGTAACTTCTACTGAGTGACTGATGATTGCTCACACATATACATTTCTCACATATTTTAAAGAAAAAGAAAACAGCTTTTAAAAAAAGAGGCAAATACCTTATATACAGCAGGTTCCGCAGATACCGCCAAGGAATTAAAAACGAGGCAGACAACAAAAACCGGCCACTCCATTTTTGTATGAATCTTGGCGATACGTTTTCTTCACATCTGTAGATAAATCTGCCGAAGTTGACTTATTTATTTGAGTGGAAAGAGTAAATGAGCAACTAAGAGGACAGGGATTTTAGGAAATGAACAAAGATAATATTTACCAACTCACTCAGAACATTTCCTCCTCCGCTACACAAACACTATGCTTGACAAAAGCAAGTGAGTGGGAAGTTCCTGTCCCACCCAAAATGTTTCTTTGTAGATGCCTCAAAATGAGTCATTATTCACACACGGAGATTAAAGAAATAAACAAAACTGTGTACTATGAAAATCTTTAAATTGTCAATCATAAATTCTATAATTTTATAAAAACAGTTTTACAAAGAAATACTAAGAATATCTTCGATCTCCTGGGTATGTAGAATAGAAAACTGATACTGTACAGTATATCACAGACATGAGTACTCCCCCTCACATTTCATAAATATTTTACTATATCTTTTCATATGACAACACTGAAGAAATGACACGGCTACAATGTAAAGCAGTGATGTACAGCTTGTATAACAGTGTAAATGTCCTGCCCCCTCAAAATAACACAACGCACAACCATTAATGTCTAAACCGCTGGCAACAAAAGTGAGTATGCCCCTAAACGTCAATGTCCAAATTGGGCCCAAGTAGCCGTTTTCCCTCCCTGGTGTCATGAAACCCATTACTGTCACAAGTCTCAGGTGTGAAGGGGGAGCAGGTGTTATCGCTCTCACTCTCTCAGACTGGTCACTGAAAGTCCCACATGGCACCTCATGGTAATGAACTATCTGAGAATCTGAAAAAAATGAATTGTTGCTTGACATAAAGATGACCTAGGCTATAAGAAGTTTGCCAAAACCCTGAAATTGAGCTGCAGCACAGTGGCCAAGACCATACAGCAGTTTAACAGGACAGGTTTCACTCAGAACAGGCCTGGCCATGGTCAGCCAAAGAAGTTGAGTGTTCATGCTCAGCATCATATGCAGAGGTTGGCTTTGGGAAATAGACTGCATCAAATTGGTCTTAAGGACTGTCATCCCAGAAGGAAGCCTCTTCTAAAGATGATGCACAGGAAAACCCGCATACAGTTTACTGCAGACAAGCAGACTAAGGACATGGATTTCTGGAACCGTGTCCTGTGGTCTGATGAGACCAAGATAAACTTATTTGGTTTGGATGGTGTCAAGCGTATGTGGTGGCAACCAGATGAGGAGTACAAAGACAAGTGTGTAGTGCCTACAGTCAAGCATGGTGGTGGGAGTGTCATGGTCTGGGGCTGCATGAGTGCTGCCGGCACTGGGGAGCTACAGTTCATTGAGGGAACCATGAATGCCAGCATGTACTGTGACATACTGAAGCAGAGCATGGTCCCTTGCCTTCGGAAACTGGGCCTCAGGGCAGTATTCCAACATGATAATGACCTCAAACACACCTCCAAAATGACCACTGCCTTGCTAAAGATGCTGAGGATAAAGGTGATGGACTGGCCAAGCATTTCTGCAGACCTAAACCCTACTGAGCATCTGTGGGGCATCCTGACATGGAAGGTAGAGGTGCGCAAGGTCTCAAACATCCACCAGCTCTGTGATGGAGGAGTGGAAGAGGACTCCAGTGGCAACCTGTGAAGCTCTGGTGAACTCTATGCCCAAGAGGGTTAAGGCAGTGCTGGGAAATAATGGTGGCCACACAAAATATTGACACTTTGTGCCCAATTTGGACATTGTCACTTACTCACTTTTGTTGCCAGCGGTTTAGACACTAATGACCGTGTGTTGTGTTATTTTGAGGGGACAGCACATTTATACTGTTACACAAGCTGTATACTCACTGCTTTATATTGTGGCAAGTGTCATTTCTTCAGTGTTGTCACATGAAAAGATATACTAAAATATTTATGAAATATGGGGGTGTGTACTCACTTCCGTGATATACTGTATATGTTACTGGAAATATGGCTCACGCTCTTCCACGCAGCAGAATTCCAGCTACGTAGCCAAGATGGCAGGAGGTGGACTGAGCCAACCTGAACCCAACATAGGCTGTGCCGAATCCAAACCTAGTGAATCCACTGTTGGGATTTTAGGAAATTGCTATGGCCAGAGTTTGTGCTGGCATAGTGGCTGCGAGTCTGGGCTGAGAAGGGATTGGATCTGGCATAACTCAATCCCTCGTCACTCTTACCCACTTTGCCCTGCTCCCTTTTCAGCTTAGCTGATCATCCCAGCCACAGAGCAATTGTACCAGTAGGTCTGCTTGTGCCAGTAGGTCAGAAATCAACGCAAGTTGTGCTGGGCGAAAGGACAATTGACTTCTGGCTATTACAAACCCACTATGGCCAGTGTCTGCATACAATTGAATAAGCAAGGATATTGAGGCAGATTTTTTAGAGCTAAATGCATCATTTTCAAACTTAGGTACCACATGCACCACAAATCACAGAACTCAGAACATAAGTACAAACAACTCCTCTAGGAAGTACAATTGTACACCCGGTGTGTGCCAGCTTACTGTCAACCACATAATTGCCAAGCTGGATATATATATAACAGTTTGTTTTCTCTCACATTTTAATTTCTTATCCATCAAGTCTAGAGATTTATGAAATTTGGCAAGTTCTTAATAAAACAAAACAAAACAAAAATCTCAACCATGTGCCAAATTCAATGGACGCACCTGGGTGGAAGAAATAATGTAGAGTCTGCTTTCTGTGCAGATGTTATTGATACATTATTTACACAATTGAATAATCAAGGATGATGAGATAGATTTTTAAGAGTGACATGATGAAAGGTCACCATCTGGATGGGCAGTTCATTATCACAGTCACCACTACCACCACCACCACCATTAATTTTAATTTACATTCCGTTTTTCCACACAATGAGCTAAAGGGGCTTCACATATCAAAATCTATCTAAATACAAGATTGTAACAACATATTCTTAGTATGAGAACGCAAATATTTATTAATATTAACATTACAACATGGTAACAACTTTACTTCCAAAACAGGCAATAGCAATCATTATTCACTTAATATTACTTTTCGATAACATATATCCTAGTCAAAAGCACTAGACCTCTGCGGAAGCATGCATTAATGCAAAAAACTAGCAACCATTTTCCTTTACAGTGTCAAGCATAAGAAACAGCAACCAGTCTCTTTCACCTTGCAGCAAATGGCCTTTCCTCTGCTCGGTGGTCTCATGGTATGGCAGTTCTTACAGTTCTAGCATAGATAGGGCTTGGGGTGAGGTATTGCTCTCGCATTCTGATCCCTAGTTTGCCAAACTCACAAATTTGTCTCTGTCAAATCCATATATCTGGACAATCATGTCCAGATTTGTTGAATCCCAAGTTCTTCTTGCTCAATGTACAAAGGAATTACTGACTTTTGGGGAGTTTTCACTGAGAATTGAACTAAACAAAATCCTCGCCCTGACAATATTTGAAATTTTGTATTGTATAAGAATTTTAAATGATTGGGGGCCAGGGGAGTTTACAGGGGGGAAAAACTCCATAAAAGTAAATTGAAGTTTAAAATGACAGCTTAGAATTGTTGCTATGAGTTATCTCATAATATTTTGCATGTGCCAAATTAATTGATCAAAGATCAAAGTTATAAAACTTTTAAACAATGGCAGATAAATGGTTGTATATTTTTTAAATTGAAGTAGCACTGTCTTTCGGAAAGGTAGTAATATCTGAACCCTGGGAAATTTGATAATATATTATACTTAAGCACCAAAAATAAAGGTACCCTTGTTCTAAAGTGGTAAGATAGTCAAAATATCAAATGTTATGTAAACAGTTCTGATGCCTATAGGAAAAAGAATGAGATCCAAGTCAGTGGAGATTTATTTGAATTAGACGAGAACATGTAGACATTCCTACAAGTTGAGAAAACGTAGTAAAAACGATAAGGGGAAATGAAAACAACTGAGAGGAGTTATAAATATTGTGATAGGGCATATGCTGTCATGCATGAACAAGCGTTCATCACAACTCCACACTGCTTTGGGTACCAGCTATCAAAAAAGATAGAGCCGCGCAGCAGGAGGTTTTGTTTCCAGATGCTGGCAGAAACAACCAAATGGATTTTACATTAGGCTGAGTGAAAATGTTTTTTCTCTCTCTGTGTGTGATTAGAGTAATGCTTTTTACTTTCTATACTTTTTACTGTTACCAATTTTGATATTTTCCCATGCTTTTTAAGTAAGACTTAGCACAATGCTTTTTGACCTTTTAATAATTTTACTACTTGTAGATGAATTCTCTGCCATTATGGGTTATTCAGCTTTAGCAATTTTATATTGTAACCTGAAATACTTTCGTTGTTCTTTTTTACTCTACAAGAGATGCTCCTATATTTTTGACAAATAAGTTAAGCGACCCATCTCTGGTTCTGACAGCCGTTTCCTATCCACAATCATCACTCAGTCTTTTCTGCTTGCTCCCCAAAGCCATGACTAGGGCAGGTTGTAGCTCCTTCTTTACGAGACTTTGTCAGCCCTGATCAATCCAATAGCCAGGTGGGTTCCAGAGGTGCGTGAAAAAGCAGGAGACATGGCTTGAAGCACTAAACCCTCCAGTACTCAACATTCCAGAACCGTAACAAAGCTGCAATTCGCACATCACATAACGTAGTGGAAAGATATCAGGGGACGTCTGTCCTTGTCTCTACTCCACTGAGAGGGTGGCTAAACAGGCGTCGATCCTGCTGTTTGGTCTGGTGCAGGGACAGGCTGGTTCACTCTTTTTGCAAGGCATCACACAACATAATTCCTGGAACAAACTGGCCCACCCCAGAGCATTCCTCCTCGTATCTTTCTCGGTCTCTTTTTGGGTTGGATACTATCAATCTAGTTTGGTTCTTTTCCAGCCTTTCACACGATCACTGGGATCGAACTGAAGGGGGTTTCCTGGTTCAGTTTCCCCAGTTAATGATATGGAGGCATTGGAAAATTAAAAACTTGCAGCAAAGGGAGGAGAAAGATTTTAAAAAAGCTGATTAGGGCTGATTTGCAGTACCCTTTAAAGAATTTTTTAAAATTAAAGGCTTCCTCCCAGAAGCAGGTGGAGACAGGAACAAGATTTCTTTACCCTTT